CATTCCTCAGGTACGAGGACGGTCAGGTAGGAGATGCTAACATAAACACACAGGACGTCCGGATACAGAAGGAGATATTGCGGGTGATTGGAGGACAATCGACCTGACTGACCCGTTTCACCACTGTGACGCTTTGAGAAACTCTACAAGGAAACATATCAACTGAATATGGGAAAGAATTACCTCAAACTAGGTGTTTTTGGTGATGCTCCAGTCAAGTTTGTCTTTACATGGAAAGAACGGAAACCCCTTTTGTAACTTTTTTGATAAAACATTTTCTTGATTTTTAATTTAGTGTCTATTTATGTCATGTTCGCTTTACATTTTTTCTACATCATGAGCGTTGAATTTAGAGCAGTTGAAAAAAAAAATGTTTAATTCCCATTTTGCCCACTGGGGGTCTCTATTGCCTAAAAAGAATCATAAAAAATAACTTGGAAATGAAAAAGGAAAGGCTTCTAATTCTATAAACCTGCCATTTTAAAGTGTTTACGTCTAACATCTACCAGTAGAGATTATGGGTCCTGTTTAATGTGCTTATTAGTGAAATGCAGCATATCCGTCAGTTTATTTTTATGAGAATGTTGTGATGCCACTTGTTATATGGATCTTAATCGTCTTACATGAAATGTTAACAAGTTTGGTGCTGTGCACTATTATAAAGGCATCGTGTTTTCATTCACTCTTCAAAGAGCTTCGAGCGAAGAAGACTGACAATAAACTACACGTAATGACACATTACAGACGAAAAAGGTATGATTTTTGTAGATGTCAAATTTAAGACGACGACACAAAACTAATCTGAGGGTCATGCTTTCAAACGGCCCATTTTTGTTTGTCAGTTCATTTTCAATAAATTTAGAGCATAACGACAACATAGCCTACTAACATTCTTCAAAATACATGTTGTGTGTTCAGTAGAACAAAGAAACTCACGGTTTAAAACAACATGATGGTAAATCATGATGGTTTCAATTATGAATGTACTATCCCTTTAAGAACTAATAATGAGTAAATCTGCCGAAACGTTTCTGCTAACTGTTGGTGTACAGTCTATAAATATAACATCGATGGAAAGTCCCCATAATGGTAGAAATAAATAGGCTAGCTCTTGTCATAGCCTACTGTTATCTGTCACGAGTCACGACCCCAAAAGAAAATTAATAGTGTGTTGCATCGTGCCAAAGTCCCAAAGGACATTTTGACTTCTCGGTTTAGCCAGCGGGTCTGTTCTCCTCTGAAGCAGAAACACATAATAATTCATAACAGTGCACTACATCCATATGAGCCCCGCATCTGCCCCGAGACCCCATCCTCCCTTTTATCATATTACATTTTAATTAGCCTACATCATTTTATTAGAATATTATGTTTGTGTGTGTGTGTGTGTGTGTGAGAGAGATTTACTTATATAATTATAATATAAGTATAATTTAATTTACTTATTATTATATATATAATATACTTATTATAATTTACTTATTATAATTATATATTTAATTTATTTATTTATTTATTAATTATATAATGTACTATATGAATAAAAGAGATGATACAACATATTAATAATAATATACGTTAACTTTAGTTCTAAATTCTGCAACATTCATCCCATATTAAACTGCATTTAGCAAAATTATAATGTTCTATAAAGCCATTAAAAAAATGATTATTGTTATTATATTAAAAGTATTTACGTTTGTAAATAGGTTACATTAACACAAATGTTATAGGCCAGGCTTAAAAACACTCATTTTATAGCCTATATTATGTATACTGTAGGTCCAACACAATCTCTCTGTTTTGAAGATGTCATATAAAACTCAATTGTTCTCTCTTCGTATTTTAGATTAACAAATTTGCAAAAGGCAGTGGAACATCATGTTTTTTTCTCCTGCTTTAATTTGTCCTAATTATCCACTTTGACTAAATTTCCTCTTCTTTGGCTAAATTATGTTTTAATTTTACGTCCGAAAATTGCTTTGTGTGATGGTTTTGCACATGTTTTTTTCTTTATCATTTACTCTAGTTTTCTTTTAGTCGACAGGACCTGTGCAAAATGGATTGATGTTTAGCACTTCTTTCATTAAATTACACTGTAAAATAAATGTTGTTTCCACTTAAAAGTAAGTGTTCATGCTGCCTTAAAATGTTAAGTTTAGCCGACTTGAAATGTGTACTAGTGGCAACTTGGGATATTTGAGTTGACTAAACTTACAATTTTTAAGTTGAAACAACTATTTTTTTTCCCACAGTGAAGACATCACTACTGAGACATCCCGATGTCAGTTTTATTGATCCACTTTTTATTCTGTCAGTCCTTCTATGCCCCTTTCTTTTACACTTTACCTTTGGTTATTATCTTTCTCGGGACACATTTGAATGCTTTGACCCTCGCAAATGTTGTACAAGTGCAGATCACGGCTGAACACCTCCAGCTCGAGTAGTTCCGACACCCTCAGCAAAAAGTGTTCAAAAAGCACTTGGCCTGGCTGTGCCGTAAGGGAGAACTGTTCCAGAATGGAAGTGAGGCATGAAGGAGCCCTTTTCCAATTTTTCATCAGCGAGAAAATTACCCGGGCAGTTTTCAAGCTTGCATATTTCTCGCTAGGAACTTGCTGTTACAGTTTGTGTTACAGTTTGAAACGCTCTTGACTGGCGCCCAATTTCGCCTTCCACACCAGCGTACGTGAAGTAAACGTGAAGTAAAAAGCAAATCTTTTATATTCCTCTCATCCCTTTGTAAGAGAGATTGCCTCTCTAACCAAAGTTCTCACTGAAGCCCCACTCAGTCGCCTCACACCATTAAACAAACTTCATTTCCCTATGGGTGTTGCAATCTGCAGTGCTCCTCTTTGAGACTTAATTTCCCTTTAATTAAATTAGTAAGACTTCCAAAGAAATCCGCCAGAGAGGCCCTGCGGCTTGGTTTCTGTTGTCGGGCAGATAACGGCTGTGAGTGTGTGTCGTCTATGGAGATTGATAAAGTAATTGAAACAGTAATTGTCAACATGTTCGCTTTTATCTGTTCTGGGAGCTTACTAAAATAAGGCCGTCTGGTTGGCAGTGCACTTGAAAGGCCCAGTTTTACCACCAGTATATCTGTAACTGGTCCTATAGCATCTTTAAAGGCACTCACTGAAATGTGTCCACTACAAGAGAATGTTTACACTTTAAAATAGCATTTGTTTTGGTGGGAACCAATGTAAAAATGTTACAGCAAAAATCTTCCCCCAACCAAATATGCAAGATAAACATATAAATATAGTTTTGTAAAATACACACAAATGAAATAAAATGATGAAACAAATACATTATATATATATATATATATATATAGTATAAATAATAATAATAATAATAAGTCATTCATAATTTGTGCTTTAACCAAATTTATCACCAACTTTAAACATATTTAACTCTAAATTATAAAGTATATATTATTTAGTAACATGTTTTTAATAATTCAATACATATTAAGTTATCAATAATACAATATTGTAGTAATTTTGCTATAGAATATTTATAAAACAGTTTCTTACAAGTAAAGATTATAAATAATTGTATATATGAAATTGTTACATTTTAAAATACAATATATATATAAAAATATTAAAGTATTAAAGTATAAAATACAATATATATATATATATATATATATATATATATATATATATATATATATATATATATATATATATATATATATATATATATATATTAAGTATTTTTTTTAAATATATTTATGAATTATGAATCGCCTTATAATTTTGGAAAAAAAACATCCCCGCATCAACCATAACATTTGTATTGATTTTTGAAAGGGTTTTTTCTCTGATTATTATTGCTATTATTGTGTACATGACACAGTTTAAGTAGGATATTAATAATTTAATAAATATTTAATTATGAATGAAAAAACCTGACAAGTATTTTTTCTGTGTAATATTGTTAAAAGTTTCCTTCAAGAAAAAATACAATATTTCATATGAAAATATATATTATATTTTAAAAATACAGTATATTATACCACAATATGTTTTAAATTATATTTTTATAATTATGGAGAAACATCACTGCATGAACAATCACATTTGCATCGAATTCTTTAGTTATATTTCTTATTTTGTTTTCGGTTATGTACAAAGGATTGTTTAATGTTGTATTTTACATTCATGTTTACTGCATCTGACCGTAGTTACAGGAAAAGCAACTTATGATAAACTTTAAGACCCTCCATTAATCTAACTGCATATTTTACTGTACATTTTACAGTGTATAATTGTGCTTTTCACTCTTTCCACGCTTGGTCTCGTTGAACAGAAAGCTTGCCTTGCCTTCTGTCGACCCAGTCTCTTGAATGTTGGATGCTCCCCTTCAGGATACAGACTGTGTATTTTGTCAAGCAGAACCGTGTGGCCCTCTTCTCTGATTGAAATCACAGCCTCAGGGCTCGAACACTTTGAGAGCGTTCAGCAGCCACAGTGGGAATAGATGCAGAAATAGAACTGATGAAACGGCCACCTTTGGTTCACCGTAAATCTTCACTCGGTACATGGCGGTTCGTTCTTGCTGTATCAATTTAGCATTCGTTTTTTATATATAGGCCTATAAAAATAATTTCATGACTTAAGTAGTTGGCCCAAAGCCACTTTTAAAAGCAGATTCCTGGCATAAGTCAACTGTGCTTATATAGATAATTGTTTACTGGCTGGATTGTGCCGTCATGCATGGGAGGATGTGTTTTTAAACTCTCAGTCTTAATCAGACACGCATGTTAATCAGCCGCTGATTGACAGGACTTAATTAACACTGAGGGTTTCAAACGGGGAACTTGGGTAAGCATTTGCCAGGATGAAATTTTCAATTCTGCACGGAGCACTTGCCAGACACAGTTACTGTTTCTTTAAGAGGTCTTTCGCTCTTTTCCTCCTCCCTCTCTGTGTCCCTCACAACCTCTCAGATTGGGTCTTCAGTGCATTCTGGAGTGTGGCAGAGTAAATATGTGAAAGGTCTCAGATTATGAAGCGCGGTGACAGATGCAGAACTTCACCTGGAACGTTTGTGAGAGTTTTAGAGCAAAGAAGGTAAATGCATCACTTCGTTTCTTCAAAATCTATTCAATGTTAATTTGTTCTTGTTCCATAAAGTACTTAGATTTTTATTTTATTAAATTATTGTATTTGTGTGTAATTGCATTGACCCTTGACTTTTAGATTATAATATTATTTTATTTATTCAATTTAATTTTTATTATACAATTTATTATTGTGTAATTATATACAATTGCAATTGCCTTTATTTGTATTTCTTATATGAGTCAAAATCTGCTAAGGGGACATTTAATGTTACAAATCATGTTTTATTGGAAAATTAAACAACATTTGATCAAACTTTGCCTTATTTTTTGTAACAACATTGCATTTTATAAAAATCACCTGTCAATTTTATATTATATCAGCATATGAGAGTCAAATTGGAAGACTATAGGGACTCATTTCAAGATCACTGTACAATGTTCACAAACCCGGTGAGGTTTTTCTATAGAATTAATAAAGCAAGTATTCATTGAAGTGATTGATGCCCATGAGTGTGTTGTTTATGTCAATATTTTTAGTTCCAATATTACAACAGCCAGTCTTAGGTTTTTGACGGACGTGATAACGTGCATAAGGGTTGAACTACAGTTTGATTCTTGGGTCATTATAAAATGTATTGGTGTCAGGCGTTGTGCAAGATGTATAAGACGAGGACAAGAGGAACTCAAAGTAGATGCTTTATTAGCAAACTTAAACTTTATAGAAATGAAAAGGGGAAAACACTCCAGGAGTGGTTTTGATGCAGTTGTTTCTATTGTCTCTGATAACAAAAAGATCCTGTTGCAAATAATTGTGGAAAACTGTTGTCCCATATTAATGTGTTTATTATTTATGTTTTAATTATTAATTGCAATTTTATTTTATTTAAAACTATTATCATGTTTAATACATTTGTTTATACTGGACATGGTATCATCCATAAAGCTGAAAACTCAAATGCAATATTTAAAGGTTTCGATAAAAAATGATCTAGTTCAATTTAAAATGTGGTTTTGCCTCTGAATTCATCATGTTTTCCCCTTGTTTGGTTACAGCTTCCCTCTAACGGAGACTGAAATATGCTTCAAAGGTACTGACTGAGAAATTCCTGATACTCAGCACTTTCAGCTTTGATGAATTTGCTCGATTTACAGAACAGATTTTTTTCTTTTCTTCGTGTCAACTGCCTTGTCATTGAGTTTAGAGCTTTGGGAATAACAGAACATTAGCATTTAATATAATTTGGTTTCCCTCACATTTGTGCAACTTCTTTTATGTTGGAATACAATAGTGCTAGAACTCAGTTCTGGGAAATATTATCAAGTGGTACCAAATATTGCCCTCTCAAGAACATATAAACAACCTATAAATATGTTTATGCCGGGCAGAGAGCTTCATGATAACACACAATCCACATCTATCCAACCCTCTAAACTGAATCCCACAACTCCTAACAAACCAAAGCAAGAAGGATTCAGGAAGGTCTGTTCCACTGGGGAACCAATCCCATGTCCAATCCCAGGACTGGCGTCTGGTGTGCTGGAAATGCGTGTGAAGGAAGGAAGCAAGATCAGGAACCTTTTGGGTTTCGCCATGTCTCGGTTTCAAGGCGACGGGCACGTGGCTCCAACGTCGCAGGTTCTGTTCAGTGGGACGGGACGGGCCATGACCAAAACCATCACCTGTGCGGAGATTATGAAACGGAAAGTGCAGGGCTTGCACCAGGTGTCAAAGCTCCAGTACAGGACAGTGACTGAGGTGTGGGAGAGCCAGGAGAGCGGCCCGGTTCAGATGACCATACACAGAACGCTTCCTTCTATTTGTATTCTCCTGTCCAAAGAACCGCTGGACCAGCAGGAGCCGGGATATCAGCCTCCAGTCGAGACTCTCTCGAGGGAGGGCAAATGGGCAGATGGGCCGCATGGGAATGGAAAGCCAGCCAAAAGACCTCCGAGTCCTTGTTCTCATGATCTTCCCAGTCTTAAAAGAGCTGCTCTTGAATAGGACAAAATTGCAGCTTTGGAACTGGTTAAAAAATGCGTATAAAAGTATATTTTGTGTGTAACTTGCTATATGCTTATAACTGTCATACAATTTGGCCATATATCAGGATGCAATAAATATAAATGTGTAATTGAATGATAAAATGCATGAAGTCATTTTGTTAGTATTAAATTACATCCAAAATATAAAACCAAATAATTTATTGTTGGCTAGTTCTCTTACTCATTCACTTTCATCTTGCCTGCACTATGCTATTCATATTTGTATTCATTTGGTAACACTTTGGAAAACTGTTCCGTCATTAATTAATAACTATGAACAAATGAGTAACGCAATTTAAGAAACTCTAATTTATGAATTAGTAAGTAAGTAATAGTGCTCAGTTCTCTATTAGTATTAGCTAATCACTATATACTTCCCAGAACTGCCATACAGGTTCTTAATTAATAATGTGAATAACGCATTAAGTATCATTTTAAAGTGAGGGTCATGATAACCCACATTAATGACTTAGGAAATTAGACATAGACAGAAGGAAATTACCGAATCCTTCAGAAGGAATGTAATACTGCCCCCTGCTGATGAGAACGACTATTTCTATGAAATTCACATTTAGGGATTAGAAGCTATGTAATATGTATGTTTTACCTTTACTTTAATAAAATACGTATTTTATTTCCAACAAACACTAACTTTTCAGTTGGACTATAACATTATAATCACGGTACAACTGTACAATCTGGAAATGTAATGGAACTTAACTATGTTGATCAAAATAAATTCTTTGATAATACCGGTAATGCCATACAATAGTTTACTAATGACGGCATATAATAGGCTAGGCCTATCATTTAAATTATAAATGTGTAGGCCTAATGAAAATTTGTAATTAATATAAACATATTGAATCAAACATTGCTTTTTATACTGCACAAGACGTGAGTTTATTACTGTGTTCATACTGGATACAGCTCATAGAGAGACGTGGTGATTGTACACACTATAGAAATGTATATTTTGGCCTTCATGCTTTTTTATAATCCTCTTTAGCAAACTCTCTCACCACCATGAACAGAGTCCATACGCTGCTTTATTGCCAAAGAAGTGCGCATGCGCAGTGACGCGACAGTCGCGTGTTTAGCACTAGCAAGTCGGCTCTCTGAAGTAGCAGCAGCAGCGCGAGCCCGAGTATCGTTCTTCAAGTTCGAGCAGCGCTTGAGACCGGTGATCCGCATAATGTTCAGAGCCGCCCTTCGAGTCTCTGTGTCCGGTGCTCGGAGTTTAACAAGGGCACGGCCACAATATACAGGTAAATAGAGATTTTCCCGTATTACATATGAAATCTTTAATTGAAAAAACTACAGTAAGAGGCAGAATTAACTGAAACACCTTGAATGTAGCTTAGCATACGAGCTAACCGAAGCCGCACCGGTGCTTTGCTTGAAAGGTTATAACTTTTAGAGGTTATTATCACTCGCTCGTTTATCGCTTTTATTAAAGCATTGACATTTCATAATCGTGTTTTTCCTGTAATTTACTAAGTCCTGTAGATGTTTTCTCACAGTGTCCTTGTAATGACCGACTAAAGTGAGGCTTCGGCCCAGCGCGCGGAGGAAACGCCACTCAAACTGAAAGCTTTCTGAGCTTTGTTGAAACGGGAAGTGTAATTGCCAAATACTTGAAGTTCGAAATGAACTCTGCATTTTAAACATACTGTGTGGTTTATACTTTTTGTGTATGCTTTGTAGCAGTTTAATCTTATAGTCAATGGCTAACGTTACGTGCAATACTTGCATCTTAAAATGAAGATGCGTTACGCTTAAATTCACCTTGCGTCAGGGCAAACCGCACTTTCCATTTGCTACAATACACTGACCTCTATGCGAACCCACACATCAGATCATAGATGCAAGTATAGTATCATCAGAATATACACCACGTCATACATCTAGTTAGTATATCAGTTGCATTTATTGCCTGGCCACCACCACTTTTAGCAAACAGTTAGCTCAAGTTATACTTATCCATTGGACAAGGTAACGTAGGTCAAACTAGAACTGGATCAGTTCCAGTTGGAACAAGGTCAGTATGCAAAATCTCACTGCACTAAGAGTTGTTCACAATCATTAATACATAGACTAAATTATTAGTGCATTATTATGGGAATTGTGGTCCTTTTACACTTACACAATGGCAATGTTTGTCATTCTCTAACTTACTTATTTAGTGTATCTCTTTTGATCTGATTTGGTATTTTACTTTCACAGCTTCGGTAGCTGCTCGTTCTTATTCCCATGGCAAACAGGAGACAGATGAAGAGTTTGATGCCCGCTGGGTCACTTACTTCAACAAGCCAGACATCGATGCTTGGGAGCTGCGGAAAGGTGGGTGACTGAGGTGCTTTGACCTCATTGTATCAGCAGCTGTGCATTCGACTACTAAGCTTGTAAAGCAAGGATTACTCTCATAAATGTTTTTAATGGCCTTACGACCTTAATCTAAAATCCTCTTTTATTTGAATGCTACTCTTTATGATTGCCATATTCACATACATTCACACAGTACTAATTAAAGGTTTGGAAACATTACTGGTTTTTAAAAATCTCTTATGCTCATCAAGCCTGCATTTATTTAATGAAAAACACAGAAAATTTGTGAGAATTTTTAATAATGTTTTTCTGTTTGAATATACTTTAAAACATAATTTATTCCTGTGATGCAAAGCTGAATTTTCAGCATCATCACTCCAGACTTCAGTGTCACATGATCCTTCAGAAATCATTCTAGTATGCTGTATTTATTATCAATGTTGGAAACAGTTGTGCTGCTTAATATTTTTTTATAACCTGTGATACTTTTTTTCTGGATTATTTGATGAATAAAAAGAATAGCGTTACTTTAAAATAAAAGTATTTTGTAACTAATGCACTACCATTCCACGATTTGGGGTCAGTCTTTTTTTTAAGAAATGAATATAATACTTTAATTCAGCAAGGATGTGTTAAATTGATAAAAAGTGTTAGTGAAGATTTATATTGTTTAAAAAGATGTCTATTTTGAATAAATGCTGTATCACCTTGTAACTATAATACACCATTAGGCTGGACAAGTAGGTTTCCATAATTAAACACAAGAAATGAATCTATATTGTTACAGCCTGTATTTTGTTTTTCTGTTTACTAACCTGTAAAGGTGGTTTAGTTTGATCCATAGCTATAAAACATTTTTGAATGAATGAATGAATGAAAAGTTTTTATTTCGAACACGTAGAAAACAAAAAACAAGCAAACAATACATAAAACAAAGAGAAAAAAAATAAAAAATAAAAACAACAACAATTTTTTTTTTTTTTTTTTTTACTTATACATGTCCGAAAAGGAGTAGGAAGAAGCATAAGTTTATTCAATCCTACCCCATCTTCAACTAATTATAACTAATTAACCGGTTGACCGAATATTTTGATCTATTTGTCTCTAAACACCAAAAACAAAAACAACATACATATCTACCTATGTGTATATACATCTTCAAAACATAAAATAAAAATTACATAAGAGAAAATAAATAAAAACTAATAATAATAATAAGAGAGAGAAAAAAAAGAGAAAAATATATAAATAAACTATCACCTAACTAATAATCTTCATCCTCTCTATACCTTTCAAATATCATATTTTTACAATGCTTTTTAAACTGAGTAATACTTGGGCATTGTTTAAGTACTGAACTTAATCTGTTCCACAACTTCACTCCACATATCGAAACACAAAAGCTTTTTAATGTTGTACGTACACATAATTGTTTAAAGTTGCTCTCACCCCTAATATTATATCTCCCTTCTCTATTAAAAAACAGTTGTTGAATATTACCAGGGAGTAGGTTATTTTTTGCTTTATACATTATTTGTGCTGTTTGAACATAAACCAGATCAGTAAATTTCAACGTCTTGGATTTTAAAAATAATACATTTGTGTGATCTCTATAACCAACACCATGAATCATCCTTATGACTCTTTTTTGCAACTTAAATAAAGATAATAGTCTGCATCTGTAAGTATTACCCCAAACCTCCACACAATAGTTTGTGAAGACATTCATTATCTTTAACCTATAAAATCTTTTGAACAAGGAAGTGTAAGTTGTAAAGAAGACCGTGTCAACAGAATGACACTCATCTGGTGTCTGTGGAGTAAATGTCTGTCCTCTTTTCTTTCTTTTTTGCTTCAGGAATGAACACTTTGATAGGTTATGACTTGGTACCTGAGCCAAAGATCCTGGAGGCCGCCCTGAGAGCCTGTCGGAGGCTTGACGATTTAGCCAGTGCCATCCGCATTCTCGAGGCAGTCAAGGTCCTTCAATCTCTCTGAACAACTGCAAAATGAACTTAAACATCTCTTGAAGCTGTTTAACATGTTTTTTCTGAAAATGTAAAATGTACAAATTTAAGTAAAATTGTACTCGTATTCATTACTTTTTGTTTTACACAGGACAAATCTGGCCCACACAAAGAGATCTACCCCTATGTTATCCAAGAGCTGATGCCTACCCTCAGTGAGCTTGGTATCCCTACACCAGAGGAACTTGGCCTTGACAAAGCATAGATGTCTGCGATTGTGGTGAGTATTAGCTTGCAGGATGTATTGTTCCTCAAAGAAAGTGAAAGGTGTTTCCTTATTGATATGATTGAACATGTCCATTGTATCTTTCCTTTTCACCTACAGTCTCCCAGAGGACTGCTGCTCTTGTCCAGACCGAGTAGACCACTGTACTTGAAGTCATTGCCTGGTGTCATGGTGTTTGTGTTATATTTAATTGGCCTTTATTATGTTCTTTTGTTTGTAAAATATTGATGGACCTAATAAAGGGAGATTTATCTTTACTCATTCTTGTTGTGTTTTTATCTGATGCTTCAGACTTGCTGTATTAGCTGTTAACATAAAGGGACAGTTCGCCCAAAAATGAAAATTGTCTTTCACTCACCCTCAAGTTGTTCCAAACCTGTATGAATTTCTTTCTTATTCTGAATACAAAAGCTCAAACATTTGTAGCATTTACTTGCATAGCATGAAGGAAAAAAAATACTATGGAAGTCAATGGAGTCATCAACTAAAATATCTTTGTTCCACATAAACTCGTACAGGTGTGGAACCGGAACGACATGAGGGTAAGTAAATGACAGAATTTTCATTTTTGTTTGTGTCTTTAAAAAGTTACTATCAATCACAAAAGTGAAAAATCTATCCACAAGTCTCTGTTAAATGTTACTGAATTTAGAAACTTATTGAAAGTAACTTTATTTTCGGTGAATGTGCACGACTTCCGATTCATTAGCTGCTATAGGTAAACAACTAGAAGAATAACAAAGCGCAGTAAACGGTAAAACAATTTGCGCTATTTATGAATATCATATATAATAATCAATTTATAATTATATTATAAAAAATTCCAACAATCAGAATAAAAAACAAATCGTACCTAAAATAACAGGAAGCGGCCGATACCGGAAGCCTCGTACATTCGAGGTAAACATGAACGCGCCCGCCCTTACATTAAAAATAAGGTAGTAAACAGTTTTTGTTTTTCTGCTTGACACCAGTCACCACCACCACCATACACTATAATTATGTAGCAGTTTTGTGTCAGTAGAGGGCGTAGCAGGTAAGCTTTCAACTTAAATCATATATCAAAAAGTCAAAAATTACAATTGGAAAAGTTGTGCTGTAGCCTATACTTAAAAAAGCCTTTGGGCAAAAACGTACTTTTTCCATCGGGAAATTTTTTATTTTATTTTGGTCTTCAATAAATAGTAGCCTATGCTCATACGTAGCTAAGCTGGGGTCAGAATTTCGATTCTAAAATGAAAAATGACATCCTAATATTAGACCCATAGCCACGTAAGTGAATGTTAAGTCTTATCGGTATTTGTGCTATAAATATTTTACTTGGCTGCTTGCATAGGGGAAACGTAAGAACGTAGTAACTTGTTGCACGAGCCAGTGGGGCGGGATTTAAATGTGCGTGAATGTGCGGGGGGATTGGCTCCGGCTGGAGGAGGAAAAGTCGAGGGGACTGTGGGAGTCCCTGAGCGCGCAGTTCGGGAGGTGAGGTCAGGCGTTTCCCCTTTGGCTGGCCCCAGTGTCGAGTGTTTTTTTCCCTCCCTCTGCGAACACCGTGAGGTTTATTACCGTTTTATCAGAGGGGATATTAAACGTCCGGGTGGATGCACACGTACTCGGTGCGCTGAGCAAAACACGCACAGTGGTTTATCTAGGAAAAGAGTGATGGTGGACAATTCCAGTAGCAGCAAAGCGCAAGTGGTGAGTTCCGTCCTGTTGGCACAGAGCCCTGTTGAATGTATTGATAAGCTACTGTAATATTTCATCAGCCGATCTCGAGAGAATAAAATATCGTATCATATACATTTAAGATTTTCTAGCGTAATCGCAATGAATCAACATGTATTTAAATTACCTTCGTGTGAGCGATCTAGCTATTAAATGTAGCAAAAATCCACATTGTACACGTCATGATATCAGGATTTTTTTTGATGATACTACTCGTGCTGTTTATTTGTTTTTAAAGTTTCAGTTCGCGCGCTGCCGAATTCGTCAAAATCATCTCCGTTTGTTTCCATTTGAACGCGATACTTTGTTGCGTCGTGTGTTCGTTCTCTCTTTTAATAGCTTAATTGTTTTTGGAAGAGCGCCATACTTTTTTGGCAGCCATGATTCGACTGTTGCCCTGAATGTCTTCTGTAACTGCGCCCACTTATCAAACTATGCTTTAATTAGTTATAAACTAAAAGCATAACTCGACTGGCATTGGCTAAATATTAATTATTTAACAAAGTGTAAAGCGAGACGCCGTTTTGGCCGGACATCCGGTCGTTCCACAATCCAGACTGGTCGCCTGAATTGGGGGGGGGGTCAAAGGTAGGTTGGCCTACTGGGCAATAGGCGAGCTGCGGAATGCGACTTTAATCCTTTTGTGACATGAATACTGTTAACACTAATTCAAAGTCTTGTAAACATTAATTCGACATTTCGAAGGCTGACCGCGCCACGTTCGTTGTGAAGTTTTGCTTACCCCCGCAATCTGGAATTCCTTATTATTGTCGTTTGTGCTTATTTGTTTACGCATTTTTGTGAATCGAATTTATTAGCCACTCCGTTTACGACTCTTTATGCGTATGTATTTGTCCTTAATTCAAACTCTAATGCGTTTCTATTAAGCAAATACTGTAAATTCGTTAAAAGAAAGTAGAATGTGATTGTTTACAAATTAGTTGTGTTACGTGACTGAACGTTTGAAAGTGAGTTATTCAGTGGTTTATTATTATATATTTGAGTAAAAATTTTATTATGAATTACAGTACCAGTCAAAAGTTTGGAAAGCCATTTTTAATGTTTTTGAAAGAGGCCTCTTATGCTCAAGCCTGGATTTATTTGATAAAAAAAATACAGAAAAAAAACAATAATATTGTGAAATATTTGAATATACTTTCAAATATAATTTATTTCTGTGATTCAAAGTTGAATTTTCATCAGCCATTATATATGTTGGAAACAGCTGTGCTGCTTAATTTTTCTTTACAATCTGTGATACTTTTTTGAGGATTCTTTGATGAATAAAAAATTAAAGCATTTTTTTAAAAATAGGTATAGTTTTCTATATGGCATAAGGTATGTGTACAGAATGAATGCATTTTCTTATATTCTTCTGTCCACAATCCAGCCCAGCTTGTCTCAAGACAGCAGTCTGGCTAGTGCGTTTTCCCAGGCGGCTTTCGGAAGTGCGGCTGGTGTCAAACTGGAGGCAGTTATGGAGCAGCTCCAGAGACAACAACAAGCTAAACTGGAGATGGAGCGCAAGGAGAGACAATTCAGGGAAGCCCACATTCTGTATGCCCAACAGCTGGCTGCACAGCAAGCCATCATGGCCTCCGCTAGGGCCCAGGGCACCCCATTAACCCCTGATTTTTACAGCAAAAACTCTAGAGACAGAGCGCTGAAAGGCGGCCAGGGGCCTCCAGCTGCCAGGGGGCCCACGAAAACCAGCTCTGACCTAGCACACGAAGAGGACGCCGCTGATGAGATGGACAGGGGAAGAGGCTCCGAGGGGGACGAAGATGACGATGATGAGATGATGGATGGAGAAGACGGCAGCGAAGAAGAGGAAAGCGAAGGCTTGGAGTTCCTCAGGAGGCAAAGCCTTGCTCTTCAGCAAGGGGCTGCTGGAGTCCCCCCATATCCGTACGCCGTCTACGCCGCCTCACCCTCCGCTGCTAAAAAACGTTCCCTGTCACCAACCACTAAGGTGAAAGATGAACCCGAAGACTCCCTCAACGACCAGCAGTCGTTCAACACACCAAACGGACTGGGCGATTGGAGCCTCGATGACTCATTCAAACAGGTTGGCGTTTATATTTCTATCTCTTGTCATTGTGTTCTCTCCCACTCTATCACCATTGACCTACAAAAGCAGCAATACAGCATATTTTCAATCAGCACTGTATAATTTTTGGAGTGTCAGATCATAAGATGAATTGTAAAGAGTCTTTACATGTTCAAAACCGTGAAAAATCAACTGAAACGCGTTCGGCTCTGAATAGGACGTTTAATCAAGTTTTCTTGAGCACATCAGGAATTTGTGTTCTACAAGTAAGGGTTTAGTGAAAGATTATAGCGTCACACAACTTTATACAACACTGTTGAGTAATTTAGGGAGGGGATTTTCACAAATATATGAGAAATACATTTTTTGTTTGTTATAAAAAAGTCTGAATTTGTTTTGCCATAATGTTATTATACAATTGGTTGTAGTTGTAACTTTGGTATTCTGCCCTGAGTGTATGCTAATTTTAATACAATTTAAGTAAAAAAAATGAATTACACAGTAGCGATAAAGGGAATCATCGTTGGAAATATTGCCAATGATTAAACTCCAATTCCAGTTTTCTTGAACGCAAAAGGATTCTCCCAAATCAAATGCTCCTTTTTTTCCTCCTCTTGTTGCATTCTCCTTCTTTCTGAAGCCATTGTCCTCCTCTTCCCTTATCGTCAATAGTGTCCTGCTGTGAGCCAAGCTGTACCCTCAGACATGGTCCTTCGACTCTGTCAGTTAATTTCTCCGTTTGTTCAGCCCGAGTCTTTAGGGAATTCTGTCCTGACATAAGGCTTTTGTCCCTGGATATCCCTGAAGTGTGGCGTTCTGGCAGGCGGCCCAACAGGAGAGCGCTTTCTTTCTCTCTCACTTCTTGCCGTCTCACTTTCCTCTGTCATTCCCCCTACCGCTAGTGTTTCTTGTGAACACGCTCTTGGCAGAAATGCTGTCTTGGCCTGTGACCAGAGAGGCATTCTGTCAAGTTGCAATACAAGAGGGAGAATGTTAGAGGTGCGTGCTATTGGAGAGCCGTCCTGACAGTTAGCACGTGTAGATTGTGCAGGGTTTAGATCTTCTAAACTGAACAATTGCATGTGGGACACTTGAATAAGTGCATTTAAAGAGATTATTCATCAGAATTTGAAAAAAAAAATGTGGACGCCGCTTACTCACCCTCATGTTGTTCCAAACCTATGATGAACACAAACTACTTTGGGTAAATGTCTTTTTGCCCATACAATGAAAGTCAATGGGGTCCAAAATTGGACATTGGACAATCTTTAAAAAAATATCCTTTTGTGTTCCACAAAAGAAAGTAAGTCATACAGCGACTTTGGCGTTTTCATGTTTGTGTGACGTCATTTTCATGCTTTTAAAGCACTCGCGTCAATCATGATAGGATGAAGCCGTCTTTCAGAAGACCGTCTCGTGGGTTTAATATGGAGTGAGACATTTCCCTGTAGTGCTGTCATCCATTTTAGTGGCCTCAGGTCTGAGCTCTTTGTTTGCTCAGCTGCGCTTGAGTGATCGATCAATCAGGGAAAAATGGATTGCTCTAATTTCAGACGCTCTCTCTTATGGCTTCTTGAGCCCTTTATATGTGCATGCTTTCAATCAAAGCCCATTTGCTCCTTTTTATTATACTACGTTGAACAACCCATAGATATGTATATACATCGAAATCCCCAAAGTAGCAGTTAGTAGTAGTACGTCCATTTTAATTCTGTAAGTGTTGCTATCTTCGATGTTATGACCGTGTGTTTTTATGCTAAACATCCAACATGGTTTTATTGACAGTTATTGACATCAAGCACGTTCAATGCGGTTTACATCAGAAACAACAAGCACAAGTTGGTAAAACTATGGTGATGTTTGGGAAGGTTGTGTGTTGACAGGCAAGTCTGTGATGTTTTCATCCCACCCATGTCATTATATATGTATTTATAGAGGGTAGTGGTCTGAGGGCTTGTATACTGCTTTTCAAATATAGGCTTGTCCATGTGTATAGGAAACAATAGGAGATTCAGTGGCCTGAAAAGGCTGATGGTTGGACTTATACCTCATTACTAAGAGGGAAGGGTTTAGTGTATTAGCTTTATAGAGTCATTTTTAAGGGTGGGGTTTTCACAAAGAGATATGGCAAGAAAAGGTCCAGGTCACTCCAAAATCAAAAGTTAGCATTTAGGAAATAATTTGTTTTATTTTACATAAAGGCTCTTTTTACAACCACTAGGATTTTCTACATTATTACATTATCTCTAAACAAATTAAGCAAATGCATAAAGAAAGCTTGTTTTTTTATTTACATTACCATGATTTTGATTTTAATTTTGATTAAAAAAATTTAAAATGATGGTAATATTTGTTGAATATCGCCCTTAATTTATGCTAATGAAACTTTTTTTGAAAAATACTGCATTGTGGTAATGAGAATCAGCAATAAAACTAATGGTTAAATGTCAAATGAGAATTAGGGGGTGAAATGTGCCTGATTGTCCTAAAAAATAATTGTTGATCCTACGTGTTTCCATTGTCTCTCTTTAAGTTTAATGTACTTTTTAAGTATATATTCTAACGACCAAGTGTAAATTCAGTTTTGGTCAAATTTTCATGCACACGAAAAGAGCAAAACACTTATTTAATAAGACCTGTTTTAGAGCTCGAGGGGTTCAATCCCGTCCCCACCCTCTTTTTTTTTGGTCCCACCCGTCTTTATTTCTGTCCTTTAGTATTTAATGATGCTTTCTGTGGTAACAGTATCAGATTGCATGGTGGGGGGGATGTGAAGAGACTGGTTTGATGGCACTGACTACACAAAAGAGAACAGATGCCACAAATGGCATTTTTAAATGAGGGTGGGGGGTTGTCTTTTTGAAGCTTTTCACACTTAAATGGATAAGCCTTAGTCAATCAGTAAACACCTTTAATAAAAGCGCCGTAGTCAGGTGTAAAGTTGGCCGTAGTGTTTACTCATAATCTCAGCAAACGGGGGAGTTAATTGGCAGTTTGTAGATAAAGGAAGTTCACGCCAGTTTGGTTTAATATCTACAAGGGGAAGGACTTTGCAGTTTTTTTAGGGAAGCTAGTGGATGTTACTTTCGTAATTTCTACTTCCTGTGCTTTGTTGTTGCTGATTTGTTTTCCAGGTTTACTAGCGTTGAATTCAATAAATCATCTCCAAGTCAGTGAGGGGGTCAAATGGCTGCCATTAAACTTTTCATTGAACACATGGCTGAGGCTAGTCCAGATAGCTTGGCGCCCTTTAAACCTAGCGTTTCTGGCGGTAGCTGACACAATGCCCCTTTTAGGGAGCTCGGCATGGTAATCTTGGGTGATTAATGGAGTTTTAATCAGGCTCAGTTGACGTCGGAGCGCGCATGTGCCTTGAGTTACGGCCTCCCATTTGGTGAGTATGATGACCATATCAAAGGCATCGGGTCAATAGAAACACCCCAGCTACTTTGATTCTGCGTTTGTCAGGAGAAATATATGGCAGCAATTAGCAAAATCTTTTAACCAAGTACCTGTTTATTATTTTAGGGGCCAAAATATTCACTCCAAGTCTTACTTTGAAGCTACCCAACATGGATTGGGATACATTGTGTTCCTTGGGGTTGTTGTAAAATTGATGTGTATGGATAAACAAAAAGGCAGCAGTGCTTTAGATTGCACACTCTTGACGTTCTCCCTTCCCCCAAAAGCGTGTTTCTAAACGAACAACAGGAAGTTTGTCCTTGGGTTCGAGGGACAATCTTGTTGCATTATTTAACTGTCAGCGTCACCTTGACAACACGTCACCCCCGTGCTAGCGATACAACCCAGCCGGTTGCAATCAATTCTTATTATATTGCTGTCGCAGTGGAATTACTTTCCATATGAATTATCAATGACCTGATGGCCTCACACTTGTACGTTCCCTCTAAATGTTAGCACGTACATCTGGTGTACATTATTAGCACGGCGGAGCTTATTTCTCTAACGCGTTACGGGCATAAATGCGCTCACGAGGTCTGGTTGCCAATCTTTCTCTGGTTGCTTTGACGCCGCTCGTGGTCCATCTTGATGGAGAAGTTTCAGTTGGACGGCCCTCCTGGGTCCCATGATGATGTGATCGCTGGCGTCAGCTCGAAGTGCAGCCCATCTGTGTGATAGATCAGAAGCGATTCAATAAGCTCTCGTGAACATCAGCCCGATTCCGTGATAAAACGTGGTTTATTTGAGTTGTCAGATGGATGTTTTATAGCTTTGTTTTGGTGCCGTTTCACCCTTCCCGTTCCAGTGTGAAGTATCTGGTAGGGTGGTAACTCTAACCCTTGAATAGGAGGCATTTGATTGTAAAAAATCTTTAAAGGCCAGAGGCAAGAATGCGAGTGTAGTGAGGGTCTGGTGTCTGCGTCTAGTTTGTCCAGCCCCACCCAGAGGAAACATTCCAAGTGGAATTAGAGTTTCTTTTCTTCGAATGGTGAGAATTCCCATTAGGGGCCTGTGCATAAAGGGAGAATAGAGGGAGTGTCTTTGTCGCAGCCGTCCTATGATTTGTGACCTTTTCTAGTCCATTTCACCAAGTGTAACAGAAGCAAGTAATGGAAGGGGGAATGGTAATCAACCAGAAAGGTATATGGTGGAGGGAGGGTGTGTTTTCTTATTTGTCCGTCCATTTCCTTTCCCTCTTAACAAGTATAGAATGTTTGTCCCCAACCCCCTTCAAAAACGTGTCCCAACTCGCCAGAGGTTTTCGCTGCTTTCGTTCTACCGAAAGCAGCTTAGGGCTTTATCATCACACAGTATCTATTTATCAGTGTCACTAGAATGTGGAATTTCAAGCACACCTAGGAAGTGCTAAAGAAATGCATACCTTCGTAAAAAGTTTTTGTCGGACTGGCATGGATGTTTTTGCTTAATTGTTAGCCAGCAGGGTTAAAAGTAAGGTTTTTGTGTCATCTACGAATTTATATGGGTTAAAATGACATTTTGGTTTATGTCACGACAAATAATTTCTTCTGCTTATTATCTTTATTGCTATCGTAATT